TAATAATATAATTGCATTTTACTTAGTCGTTTCTCACAAGAGGCTTCTTCATTTGGGAGTTTCTGCTTCACCCAGGTCTCATCAGAACCCATAAAAGACTTAAAAACCGAGCCTTATCTGAGATCCGCTATGGAAAAGAAAGCCCTTTGCGTTGCGATCATGAGTACTTCTTCTCAGTTAAGTATGGAAAACCCATTTATTAGATCTTTCATTATCTCAAACGAACTAGTTCTCGTAAAGGAGTAACGCATTTATTAATATAATCAAAATAGCTTCAAAATAGATTCGATTCGGAATAGATCTGGTGTGTTTTTAAAGCGGCGAACGACGGGATCCAATCTCTTTTGGTGTGCTAGGAAATCTAGGAGAGCTCGAGCCTGCAGTTGAATAAGTGAACCTTAAAGTAGGCAAGACTGAGATCCTCTAATCATTTAATTAAAGTAGAATGTATCTGAAAAGCCATTTAAGATCACCCATAAACTTGACATACCTGAATGTGTACAGATGAATAATTGCTGAAGGTTACAGTTGACATTGCTCACTTTAAGCTCGAAAGCGGACGGAGGATTTGCCGTTTGATCCCACTTGTAGCTGAACTGCAGACAGTTCTCTAGACCGTCCCTTCCATACCAATTTAGGAATTCGAAGCTCACTGGATAGGGCTCACCAGTCCACCGAAAATGATCTGTTGTGTCTGATAAAAGAAGACTAAGTTTCAATAATGTCAGAGCGATGTTCTAAAAAAATGTGCTTTTCTAAAAATGGGAGAGTGGCTCGCTATTATGTAGGCATAACTTCGAGAACCTTCATTTACGCAGCAATTAGAAGTAAAACTTTCATGCGTGTGGCAACTATAAAGCGGGAAGTTGCATAACTGATCTCGGCGGGTCACTGCTTAAGTCTAGAATGTACAATCCCTATTGAGCCATCAATATGACCTGGTTTTGTGACTGCAAACTGATTATTTCTTCCTATTTGATGGCGTGTCCAACAGCCGCTCTGCTAAGTGTCATAATTGCAGCTACTCACATTTTATGTACTCGTTGAGCACGAAAATAGCTTTACTTTCTTCTTCGCCCTCTTCCCTCTACCTTTCCTTGAGACTTGAGT